CAGCCTGGGTGACAGAGCAAGACCCTGACTCAAAAAAAAAAAGAAAGAAAATCGTAAGAATATATTTATTATTCATGAAGTGGAGGTGGATCAACAGAAAGGTCTTCATCTTCCTTGTCTTCACGTTGAGCAGACTGAGGAGGAGGAGGAAGAGGAGGGGCTGTTCGCGCTATCTCAAGGGTGACAGAGGCCGAAGGAAATCGCATGCAAATTGACCTGTGTGGCCCAAAACCGTTGCCCACGGCTGCTTTCCCACCGCGACCGCAGAGTAAGCAGTGGGGCCAGGGCCACGTGGCGACAGAGCCTACACCAGAGACCCAGGGCCCTGCAGAAATGTCGCTGGCCCCGGCTGCGTCCTCAGATCTGCCTCCTCCCTCCGCCCCTGGACTCCCGCATGCTGCTTGTGACGGGAGCGTGCGGGTCAGAGCGGTTGGATCGCGGTCCTTCTCTCCCGCTGCGGTTTCCTCCCTGCTGCCAGAGCAGGGGCTTTTTACCTCCGGCATGATGCCCGCGCCATGAAAACTCTTTGGGCTACACATTTCCCTACACATCTCAACTTGAAACGACTCTCAGCTGAGGTCAGTGCTTGCTCTGTGTGTGTTTTACAGCCAGATGCCTCTGTTTTTATGGGAAGGAGATTTTGTAATTGCTACTGCAGCGGCGTCCTGGCAGACGGGACGTGGCCTTCTTGCGAGACGTGCGGTTCTTCTCTAGGGAGGCGGGAGCCGCTCTGGGGCAACGTGGGCTCAGATGTGTTGTCAGAGATGGCCAGGGCAGTAACTGCTTCACCTTAAATGACATCCCACCGCGGCCCTGGGGTGCTTGGAAACAGACGCCCAGCCCGCCCTGGACGGCTCTGCATTTTCAGTCTTATGAAATATTAACTGCGCTGTGGTATGTTTTTGGTTAACGAGAGGCTCTTAGGCCAGAAGGCACCCAGGGGAGGAGCACCATGTGGGTCTCTGCTCACGTGTGTCTGGGGGGGCATCTCTCTGATTCCTCTGCCTGTCACCCAGGGTCTGAGACAGCTCTCTGGGGATGCAGCGGGTTGTGTAGAACATAACTCCTGGGTGCTCCCTAGCTGCCGGGGTCTGAGAACGCCGCAGTGGCCCGGCCAGGGGGCCATGCCACCCCTGTAGAGTGCATCCGCAGGCAGGGCAAAGCCGCTGCATCCACCGTCCCTGGCACGGCTGCCGGCCTGTGAGGCCACGTGCTGACTGCTCATGTTTGTGGACATCCAAGTATCTGGAAAAAATGACGAAGTGCTGCCCTGCGCAAGGGGCTCGACCCTCCCCAGCGGGCTGGGAGATGGTGGGTGTGCTCCTGTCGGTGGCCCCTGTGCCGCTGCTGGCTCATCCACGGGGGCCCTCGGGCAGGGGACTGGACGGGCCAGCGCAGCTAGAGGGGAGCGGAGGGGGTGGCCGCTGGGGCAGGAGTCGGGGCAGCTCCACACCCTGGGGCCGAGGCCACAGGACCTCATCATGTCCCTGCACACTGAAGGCAGCCGGGCCCAGGATGGCATTGCTGGCTGGCAGCGGGAGGGAGAGGGCAGAGTGGCCTTGTGGAGCAAAAGAACGGTGGCCCGCAGTCTGGACGGTTTGGGAGAGTTGCAGTCACCTTCTCAGGAGGCAGAACGCAGTTGCTGTCATGCCCCAAGCCAGAGAAGGGGCAGTGCCACCAGGGTGGAGTTGAGACATCTGTGCGCCCGTGGCCAGAACCTGTGTGGTGGGTGCCACTGGGTTTGATCTTTCCAGCTCTTCCTGACCCTCTCTGGTGTGACAGGTCAGGAGAGCAGGCCTGACCTGCCCCAGGGTCCTGCCTCGCTCACGGGGAATGGTCTCTGGCTCTGGGGTCACCTCCTGAGTGCTGGGTGAGGGTGGCCGCAGGGCAGAGGTCTTTGAGCAGGGGTGGGCCCAAGTCCTGTAGGGGAGGGACTCACCCAGGCCCTGGTCCACCCTGGACTCCAGCCCTGCCTGTCCCCTCGCCCGGGTGGTTCAGGGTTTGACACTTGCCACCAACCTTGGGGAACGCACACATCCCCCTCAGTGTCCCTCCCGGGTCTCTGGGGACGCCAGACCCTGTGAGGAGCGTCACCGCCCGGCTCCCTCCCTGCTCCTGCTCTGCCCGTCCTTGGCTGCTGCACGCGGCAGGGGAGGCGCTCTCTGCCGGTGACGCAGAACGCGCTGCGGACTCGGGCTGCACGGGGCACGCGGCACCCGCGCGGCCAGACCTGCGGCGGCAGAGCCAGGGCGGGCGGTGGTCTGCACAGTGGCGCGAGTGCCCCAGGGGCCCGAGGCAGCTCCGAGTAGGTGCAGGGCGCAGGCCGGGGTCGGGAGCCAGAGCCGGGTGTGGGGACCCAGGCGGCCTGCCCAGGCGCTGGTGTGGGGCGCGGGTGGGGGAGGGTGCAGGGGTGTTCAGGGCGCGGGTGGGGTGGGCTCAGCGGCGTGCAGGGGCGCGGCAGGACGCAGGGTGCTGGCCAGCGTGTGCAGGAGCGTGAGGTGCGGCATGGGCTGGGGCGCGGACCCGGCGCAGGGGCACCATCTGTCCTGGGATGCCCTGCGGTTTGGGCGACCATGTTGGGCTGGGGCGAGGGGGCCAGATGAGGGACTCGGCCATCCTAGGGCTCTGGCTCTGCCCCTTACTTCCCCTCACCTGCCTCCGGCCATCGCGTCTGCAGAGGGTGTCCTGCAGCCTAGGGAGGATGGGGGCGGCAGCAGTTTACCTGGGGAAGTAGAGAGGGGCTCCGTGGGGGTCAGCGTGTGCCAGGCTGGCCCCACGTGTGAAGTCCACTGTATCTCCTGGAGAATCTTCTGGCGGGGGTGGCGGGGCCCTGGCCGGCACACCTGGCCCCTGTGAGTGGGGTCCTGGGCAGCTGTGAAAGCTGTGTCCAGGAGACTTGCTGTTTGGCCTTGGCCTCTCTCCCTGGGCGGGGGTCTTTCAGCCTGCCTCCCCTGCCACCCCCGCCACCCCTGCCACCGGGAGGCGGGGCGGGGAGCCCTGCCCTGTGGCTGACAGGGAAGGGGGCGGGAATGCCCGTCCTGGCGTCTATGGGTCCCAGAGCACCCCTCTGCTGCCAGAACCACCAGTGCAGAGCTCAGATTGGGAAACTCACGCGTACCCGGCCCTGCTGCTGTCCTGGCCGGCTTAACCCACCTGTCTTCTTGGAAGTTCATTGACTTCCAGCGTGTTCTCAACACACACAGCTGTGCCAGTTGCTTTGGAGCATTTTAGCTGTAAATCGGGGTGTCCCAAACTGCTTTTCGGTGAGCCGTGCAGAAAGGGACTGAGCGTGTGACTTTGGCTGGAGGGCCCCAGAGGAGGTGGCTGGGCCCTTCGTCAGGTCATCGTCAGCCCTGGGTGACAGGGCGCCCCCACCCCCGGCCTGGACCGAGGCGGCCCTTCCTGTTGGGCGGGGGGAGGGGGTGAGCCAGTGTCCCCCACACAGGACGTCACACGGTGACAGGGGGCTCCGGCTCTATGCTGGGAGGTCTGGGGGCGGCGGGGAGCGGGGTGGGTTTGACGTGCTCCCAGGGACCTCTCTGCAGCTGGGATTTGAGCAAGCCGCGTAAGACCCGCTGGCTGTGCCGCGAGGGGGGATCGTCTGGGATGTGGGCATGTGAACCAGGACTCTCCGGGGCTCCTGAGACAGGCGTGTTCTGATGCTCGGCCCCTCACTTCCAGCGTCACGCCCTCCCGGTCCCGTGCAGGCCCGGCGGCCTGTCCTGGGGCGCTGTCTGTCGTGCGGGTCCCCTGCAGTGGACAGTGTGGCTGTAAACCCCGGCGCCTCCTGCTCCTCTGCTGGCGCTGGGGCTCTTGCTGGTCCGCCTCGCTCAGACGTGGGGCCCGGCGGCGGCTGCAGAGGGCATGAGGCCCCGGGACGGCCACAGGGGTGCGGGTGCGACCTCTGCTCTGAGAACTGCGGGAGGCTGGGCAGGTGCCCCAGTGTCCTGCGAGTGACCTTTACACCCTTTCCTCCCGGCAGGGATGGGGTCCGGGCGTGGGTGTGGCCACGGGGTGTGGGGAGGAGCGCGGGTGGTAGAGGTGAGGGTGGCCTGAGAGCACCTGCCCAGGTAGGCAGCCGGGGCCGGCCCAGGTGCCATGCACTGAGTGGCGCGGCCCTGCCGGGGGGCTCGGTCACCGAAGGTGATCAGTGGATGGCAGAGCAAGGGCCCGTCGTGACTGGCGTGTGCAGTGGAAGTGACGTGGCCGGAGAAGGGTTCAGGGGAGGGACGGGGTGAGACTTGCGGTCAGTTCTTTCCCCACCCAGGCCTCCCCTTCATGCCCTTTGGGCAGCGGGGTGGGGGTGTCTCCGTGGACGACGTTGCGAGGCTGCGTCGCGGGTGCCATGGGCTCGGGGAAGCCCTGCGGAGCTCACAGACGTTTATTTTTCTCATCTGTAAAAGGACGAAAATCGTCAGTGGCTTTCTGTGGCTTCAGTGACGAAGACCAAGGCAGAACCACGGCAGAACCACAGAGAGTTTGAGAAAACAAGATTTGTCCTAATTAGCGGCCTTGTCTCTTGGAGTGGAGAGATGTGATACTCCCCCAAACTTCCTGTGTGGGCAGTGGGGGCTCTTTTTTCTTTTTGGAAAATGACAAAAGCAAACAGATGTTTGGAAAGAGGAGACCGCGGAGCCGCACGGTTGCGAAACCACAGACGCGCACAGCAGCAAGCGAGCGTGTGAGCGCCGCGGCGGTTTATCTCCTGCTGTGGTCCCAGTGCTCTGGGCATCGCCGGGCGGGGTGGGGCTCTCCCTCCCGCCCTGCACAAGGACCTGAGGTTGTCGCCCTCAGGAATGGGCGCCGGGCCCTCAATGTGTGCGCGCTTCCTGTCTGCCCAGGGGCCCCGCGGGGGACAGAGCTCAGGCGGCCAGGAAATTGTGCAGATTGACAAATGAGGAACAGAAGGGGGCTCCGCAAGAGGAAGCACATGACTGGGGCCTCTCAGAACATCGGTCTCATTTTCCTTTCTGTTTCAGCAGCTGCCCCCTGTTCTCAGACCCCTCACCCGGCAAGGGGGAGGCCCGGCTGAAGCTGGCGTGGGGCAGTTGGGATGGAGCCCCCCGCGCTGGGGAAAGTGGGCTCCGAGAAGGAGGAGGGCTTCGGGGTGCAGCCCAGGAGGATGGCTGATCTGGGGAGGGTCTCCAATCTCCGGCGAAGCAACAGCAGCCTCAGCAAGAGCCACAGGCTGCAGGGTCCCTTTGGCAGCAGTGAAAAGGTGGGTTTGGCTGGCTGCCTGCAGCCGGGCCCCTGGCAGTAGAGGTCACCATTGGCCAGGTCACCCAGCCCTTGTGGGGCACAGTGAGCGACCTCGGGGGTGGGCCAAAGGTGCGCTGGCCCTTTGGGAGAGCCGACCCGGGAGAGTGCTACGTGGCTGGTTCGCCGGCCCTCTGTGGCTGCGCCACCATTTCCCACACTTGGACCGACTGGGAAGTCGCTGGGTGGACACGGCAGTCCTGTGTTAGGCGCGTGGAAAGCTATCACCCCTCGCTGCTCCTTGCACAGCGGTTTTGCATCCTTTATCTGACTTGGGGGCCCTGGGCTGGCTCCCCCCAAGGCCCTCTGCACAAACATGGGGAAAGCACGTTGAATCCTGCAGTCCCCTTGCCAGGAGGGCAGGGTGGCGTCTGCCCTTCCCCCAATGGTGCAAAAGCCGGTCCCAGCCTCTCTGCCTCTGTGTTCCCGCCACACCACATTCTTCCCAAGGAAGGTGGCGCCGACACATAACTGTAAAGTGCTGTGCACACTCAGGTTGGGCCCAAGAGGAGATGATTCATAGACTCATTCCTCCCTCCTGGGTCTGCACCTGAGAGCCGCTCGCAAGCGTGCTCTACCCTTCGGCGTGGTGTGAGCTCAGTCCGGACTCCCTTCTCCAGGGTGGGGCCGGGGCTCAGCGGGGACCACAGACGTGTCCGGAGAGGGCGGGATGGGCTCGTCTGAACCCCGCCGACGGGATGGCCTCAGCATCTCAAAGTGCCCTCTCTCCCCTCAGCAAGAAAATCTTAGTTCGTGGATTCCTGAAAACATCAAGAAGAAAGAATGTGTGTATTTCGTGGAAAGCTCCAAACTGTCCGATGCTGGGTAAGTGATGCGATTCGTGTTACGGAACTAGCTTCTCTCTTCCGACGCCGTGTGGGTGGCTGATCGGACCAGGACTGCCGGGGGCCTCGGCAGGGGGTCCGTGAGAAACATCCTGAGTCCTTAAAGCGTTTCCATTTTACCCCGAGCCTCTTGTGGGGAGCGGGTTGCCCCTCACCCTGCTTTACCAGAGACAGGTACAGAGACCAGCGCGGTCATCATGTGGCTGCCATGTGGCGACGCGTGGATGCCAGTCTGTCCACGTTCCCAGGGACCGCCCCCCTGCAGTGCTCGCGGCAGCTGGTGTTCTTTACGCACAAACGTTTGCACTCTCTCCTCAGCCACACCCGTTTCGTGCTGTTCCACAAATGGGCCATACTCTGTCTTCTTTTATGCCCTCTTCACCTCCTGGTGAACTCCTACTCATCCTTCAAGGCCTATTGCAGGTGCTGCCTCTGCCAGGGAAGCCCTCCCTGACCACGTACCAGGAAGTGACCTCCCCTCCACCACGCCGTAGTTCTCTTTTCTCCCAGTGTCCGCTGCGCTGTACTTCTGTGGTTTTGCGCATCTTTCTCACCAGCGGCTGAGCTGGTTTGGGGCTGGGACCAGGGCAGAGTAGTTTTATTACTTCCCGTGCCGGCAGACAGCTGGCATCCGGCTCACATTTGTCGAGCGGTACGGGGAAGGAGGTGGGTCCTGTGTGTGGGGAACGAAGAGAATTGCGATGTGAAATCAGAGGTGAATGGTCAGACAAGATGACGTCCCTCCTGGGGCCCCGGGACCGGCCAGGGCACTGTCACTAAAGTGCCCTGTGGGTGTTTTGGGTTCACGCTCCGGCCTGGCTCCTCTCCAGGTAGAGCCTCGTTTCTCACGGGCAGTGACAGGGGCAGATCCTGGGTGGACAAAGCTGCCACCAGGCCCCGGCCAACAGCTTTGTGGCCGGTCCCCTCAGCGTACTTGGCACGTAACCAGAGTTCCAGGTTCACCACGCCAATTCTGAAAACATACCCTTGTCCCTTGGTGTCTGTGGGGAGTGGGTTGCAGGACCTGTCACAGATGCCCAAACCCGCAGACGCTCAAGTCCCCGCTGTGCCATGGTGCAGTATTCGCATGTGACCTACGCAGCCCGCACGCTTCCCGTCACCTCCACATTGCTCATGACGCCTAATACTGTACAGGGTGGGTGCTGTAAATAAGTAGCTGCTGTGCCGCATTAAGAAATTTTGTATTATTCTTATTGTTGCACCGTTATTTTTCATTGTTTTTTTCCTGAATATTTTTGATCTGCCGTGGGTTGAATCCACGGATGCAGAGCTCTTTCGGAGGGCCAGGAGCCCCGTGGGAAGAGGGGCCTGGCGAGCAGCGTGGGTCTGGCCCCGTGGAGCGCCCGCGTCCTGACAGCCCCGGGGCGGGCGCCGTGGGAGCAAAGCAGGGCGTGGTCCCGGGGCAGGCAGGTCCCGGAGGGGAGGGCCTGCTGCTTTGTCAGATGCGGGTGGTGCAGACCCGCTTCCTTGGTCCCCAGGGCCACCCCCAGTTTCAGTGACTCGCTAAGACTTGTGGGACTCAGGGTACGTGTGGTGGTGCCCACGGCTAAGGTTCATGACAGCAAAAGCGGTCACAGTGGGCTTGGCGGGGCACCTGGGAGGACCCGCGCACCGTCTGCTGCTCTCTTTCCCGAGGGGCACCCTGAGTGCACCCCCTGCCCCAGCAGTGACGGCTGGGGTGGCCTGTGGGCAGCGCTTCTGTCCCGGAAAGCCCACATGAGACTCAGCCCAGGAGTGCACGGGGGCTGATCACAGGCCACTCCTGCCTGGCCGCCACCCACACCCAGACTCCCAGAAGGGAAGCAGGTTTCAGCGTAACTCGCACGGTCCACACACGGAATCCGCCCAGTGAAGCGCTCTGACCGGTGAGGGCCGGCAGGAGCCCTCCGAGAGCCCAGTGCCCGGCCGGAACGCAGCCCCTCTGACAGCAGCGCCCCAGGCCCACGCGAGCCCTGCCCTGCACGGACGTCCTCGCCTGTCTCGCCAGCTGCGGGTCGCTGGAGCGGGTGTTAGGGGAGCAGCGTGTTCTTCCTCACGGCTCCTGCCCCGGACCGGGGTGAGCGGTGAGCATCACCCACCACGGGGCAGCTTTGAAACAGATTTATTTCTGCGCCGTCTTCATCAGACAAGTTAGGACCTTCCCACCCTGCTGGTCCAGACCGGGGACCCCTGGCCTCCCCAGCTCTGCACGCACCTGCCTCACGCCCGCCCGCCACTGCCAGCCCTTGCCCCTCGCACTTTGCCACCGTTTATCTCAGGACCTTGGGCGTGTCGCTTTTCCCCCGGCCAAACCCTCACGCGGAGACTGAGTGGCTGCCGCAGAGCTTTCCCCAGGACGGGGCACGTGCGCATGCGCAGTGTGACCACGGAGTCGCCCTCGCGTGGCGGGGGGACCCGGGCTGGAGAGGGTGTGCTTCCGAGGGCTCCCGCCTTGCCTCAGGGCGTCGCAGTGGCGCTGCGTTGGCGGCCACCTAGGCCGGGGCGCGGGAGCTCTCCGGTCGCTTGAGTTCTGGGCCGCTGGTCTCAGCGCAGCCCTGCGCCTGTCGGCTTGTGAATGCCAGGCAGGCGTGAGATCCTGCCAGCCAGGTGCCGGTTCAAAGAGCAGAGGACGGGAGGCAGCTGGGCGTCGGCTGGAAGGAAAATCTATTTACCCATTTTCTTACTCTTTCCGTGGTTTTTCTCCCTTTCTGCTATTCCAGAATTCCTTCTCCCGTTTCCTTATTTCCTTCCTGTTTAGAGAACCCCGTTAGCTGCTCTTTTAGGACAGGTCTGCTGGTGACGGGTTCCTTGGTCGCCCTTCAGCCGAGAAGCTTTGACACCCCCTCACCCCCAATGGTATTTTTGCGGGATGTAGAACTCCGGATTGGCGGTTTCTATTCTTCTGCGTTTGCGAAACAGCGCGCACTTCTTCCTGGCCCCCGTGCTGGTGTTCGACTGCTCTCCCTCCCTCTGCTGTGAGGTGTCGTTTCTGTCTTGCTGCTTTTACAATTTTTTTCCTTTGTTTTTAGCGTTTGGAAGTTTGGCTGTTTTGCTGGTAGCGCGAGTCCCTTTGGGCGTCTCCCGCGTGGCGTTCACTGGGCTGCTTGGCTCTGAAAGTCTGGCTCTTCCTGTCAAACGTGGGGAGACTTGGCCGCGGTCTCTTCTCATGCCTTTGCGGGCTCGCTCTCTTCCTTCTGCAACTCTGGTGACATGAGGGTTCGATCCTCGGTGACAGTCCTGCAGGTCCCAGAGGCTCTATCGGTCTGTCTGGTGCGTTTTCTCTCTGTGGTTCCTGTTGGGTCGTTTCGACTGTGCTACTTCCTATTTGTGGGCTCCTTCCTCTGTCCCCGCTGCTGCTGTCGCGTCCATGCGCGGAGTGTTTCAGTTCCAAAATTTCCATTTGGTGTCTCTTCTCTTTCTTTGCTCAAACTATATTTTTCGTTTGTTTTGAGCATGTTTGTGATTGCTCGTTGAAGCACTTTTGATGCGGCTGCTTTAAAATCCTTGTCAGGTAATTCCAGCCTCTGTGCCATCCTGGTCTTGGTGGCTGTGGGTTGTCTTTTCTCACCCTGGTGGAGATTTCTTGGTTCTCGGTATAATTAGTGATTTTGTATTGAAAACTTGACAGTTTGGGTTTTACATTAGGAGACTCTGGATCTTGCGTTTTGGCTGCCCCATGATGTGTCTATGGCGGGGAGAGGAGCCACCGCGTCCCTGCCAGTGGGGGCAGAAGTCCCGGCACCCCCTGCAGCCCCGATTGCTGCTCCTGGGGAGGGGCTTCTTGTCACTGCTGGGATGGGAGGGGCCCGGCTCCCCATGTGGCCTCTGCAGTGGCTGGAGGGGCTGCCCTGTTACTGCTGGGTGGTCTCCCTGCTGCCCCACAGGGAGCAGGAGATCCACCTCACCCTCCCCCCGCCGTGACCTGTGCCACGTCTCTGCAGGAAGGTGGTGTGTGAGTGCGGGTACACGCGTGAGCAGCACTTGGAGGAGGCCACCAAGCCCCACGTCTTCCAGGGCATGGAGTGGGACCCGAAGAAGCATGTGCAGGAGATGCCGACGGATGCCTTTGGTGACATTGTCTTCACAGGGCTGGGCCAGAAGGTGGGAAAGGTTGGTTTCCACAGCTCTGTCCTGAATTGTGGCTGGAGCCACATGGCCCCACGGGGACACACGTGGCTGGGATTTCCTGGGGCGAGAGTTGGGGCTGGAGGAGATCCAGGGCACAGAGCCCACCGCATGCCGAGGGAGGGCGGGGGGGGCCGCAAGGCAAGCAAGAGACATGCTGCACTCGCAGATTCTGTGGAGCAGGGGGGCATGGTGAGCTTTCTCAGGAGGTGCGAGCCCAGGGGTGCGAGTGGACTCTGGCTGGGTGTCCCCTGCCGGAATTTTGGCGAGGGCTGGGTGGGAGTAGGGAGGAAGGAGAGGGACACAGGGCATGGCCACCCTCGTGATGTGCTTGGAGTGGCCGCAACAGCGTGGGGAGGGAGGCAGGGCTGCAGGTGGGGGCCGGGATGGGGGAAGCTCCAGGGTGGGAAGCGTCACTGTCCCGGTGGCAGAGGCGAGAGCCCGGCGGGGGGTCTGAGCCGGGAAGGCTGCAGGAGAGTGTGGGAGGGCAGAGGCTGCGTAGGGGGGGTCCAGGCAGAGCTGGTTCTTCTGTCTCCACCTCGAAGTGGCCCTGGACCCGCAGCAGTGCCCCACCCCAGCCCTGCCGAATCCGGGGCTCAGCCTCCTGGGGGCTCTGATGGGGTATCAGCTCCACGGTCCTGGGGCTGGGGTTGGCGCCTCTCACTTCTGTGCTGGGGTCTGCAGCCCCTGAACCCCTCAATAGCCAGGTGTGACCACACTCGACTCCCCCGGGTGCCCCTCACGGCGATGTCCACTTGACCAAAGGGGTGGAGCAGGGAGGGTCCCAGGACGGTCTCGTGGCCCCAGTGCCACCTGCACCACACTGTCACCTGTGGGGGGCGCTCTAGGCCCGGGGCTCCTCTGTCTTGAGGTCGCCAGGGCAGGTGTCCTGCTGTGGGGTTCAGACCAGGGGAGGAGGCAGGGGGCTCCTGCCCTTTGCTCAGGGCCCTGGTGGCAGCGGCAGTGGGGATGTGAGCCCAGCAAGCCTGAGCCCGGGGTCCCAGCCCCATGCTTCCTTGGCTCCAGCCTCTTCCCCACAGCTGGCCACAGGGGACAGTTGCCCACCAAGGACAGCCGGTGTTAGGGAAAAACGCTGTGGTCGACAGTGTGAGAGAAACCTAGGAGACAAAACTGCGCTGGAGCGTGGTCTCCGCCAAGGCGCAGCCGCTGGCTGAGTGCCTGTCACTCAGCTCACGCAGCCCCCTCCACGCGGCTTGTGTTCCCGGCGGGACAAGAGGTGCCCCCACACTGGCCAACCCCGGGGCCCACCTGCTCTGACGGCTGACAGTTCAGTCTTTAATTCCGGCACTCCCATGCATGTGTGTGAGCCCCACAGCCATTCCCGGACTCTGGCCCAGGGACCCCCTGTCTCTCTCTGGCGAGCTGGTCTTGGGGAGTTAGTTCCAGGCTAGGCCGGGGCTCTTCCGGAACAGCCGACTCCACCAACCAGGAAAAGTGTCTGAGGGCTCATGAGGCTCTGGAAGAGCAAGAGGGGCCCAGCGAGTGCAGAGTCCACGAGAGGCAGAGGAGGCTAAGCCACTGAGCCCATGTGATAGGCCAGGGCACTGGCCATAGGGCTGAGGGACCTGGAGCAGAGGGACCTGGGACAGAGGGACATGGGACAGAGGGACCCAGGGCAGAGGAGCACGGAAGAGAGGGACATGGGACAGAGGGACATGGGACAGAGGGACATGGGGCAGAGGGACCTGGAACAGAGGGACATGGGGCAGAGGGACCTGGGACAGAGGGACATGGGGCAGAGGGACACAGGACAGAGGGACCTGGGGCAGAGGGACATGGGGCAGAGGGACCTGGGACAGAGGGACATGGGGCAGAGGGACCTGGGACAGAGGGACATGGGGCAGAGGGACACAGGGCAGAGGGACCTGGGGCAGAGGGTGCGGGAGAGGGAGGTGCGCTGGGTGCACGATGAGAGAAGTGCAAAGCTCCAGAGCTGGGTACACCTGCAGCAGATGACGCAAGGCCCAGCTGTGGCAGGAAGCAGACCCCATGAGGTGGAGAGTGTCTGGGGCGCCCCCCACACGGAGGGGAGAGGAGCTGGGGGGTGTGGCGGGAGCTGGGGCAGGAGAGGTTTGCTGGGAGGTGCTGCTCTCCAGGGTGGGTGCACCAGTCCCCTCTCACCACACTGTGGGGCCTCGGCCTGGGGCACGTGAGCACTGCTACCTGTGACACGGGGTCCCCTCAGCTGGCTTTGGTCCCCTGCAGTACGTCCGAGTCTCCCAGGACACGCCCTCCAGTGTGATCTACGACCTCATGACCCAGCACTGGGGCCTGGACGTCCCCAACCTCCTGATCTCGGTGACCGGCGGGGCCAAGAACTTCAACATGAAGCCGAGGCTGAAGAGCATCTTCCGGAGAGGCCTGGTCAAGGTGGCTCAGACCACAGGTGAGGACACGGGGCTGCGTGCACAGGGTGGTAGGCGGTATCCGGGAGTCAGGGCTGTCCAGACCAGGAGGCCCTCGGGGATGGCCAAGTCTAGGACCGAGCCTGGGCCAGACTCACCCGAGCCCTCGCCTGCCCCAGTGCCTTCCTTGGCATCCTGATACCATTCGCTTGCTCCCGTCTGGAACCCCGCCGGTGCCTCCGCCTTGACGCGAGAGCGTCCTCAGTGGCTTCGCACAGCGGCCGGGGCGGCCCGCGTGGCTGGGCTGGCGTGGCGTGTTCTGTTAGTGAGCCGTGTCATCTGGGCTCTCTGCCAGCATCAGGGAGGGGACTATCGTTTCCATCTTTTTACTCGAGGCACCTGCCTCGCTGGAGTGACGTAACTTCCCAGGGTCACCCACCAGCGAGAGCAAAGCCAAGGTCCATGCGGACGGCATGAGGCCCTGGGTGCCATGACTTTGTGCCCTGCCACACCCCAAGCTCCACGGGCAGATGGGCCATGTGTCCTCCAGGCCCCTCAGGGTTCCTTCGAAGTGACAGTTGAGGTGTAGACCACGCGAGCCGGGCCGACCCAGGGAAGCAGCGCGGTGGGGCGCGGCGGAGGGTGGAGTCACCCAGCTCTCCCGGGGTCTGGTCGTCATAGAAAGTGTGAGGGCCACGCCCTTGACTCGGTCATTGCCACGAAACAGCCTCCATCTGAGTCCTAATTGGCCTGTGGTGCTCAAAACACCTGCAATCTTGTCTCCCATTTGGCGACAAGGAGCCACTGGTCCTTCTAACCTGCAAGCCCCAGGTTTCCTGGACGCTTCCCTCCCCTCCATCCCTGCTTATAAGTTGACCAGACCTTTTCTAGCCTGATCTCAGGGGGCTTGTTTCAGTGCAGCTGACCCCTCCTCCCGCAGCACACACACGACCTGTGCGACCTCTTCACCTAACGCCGTGGAGTTGTTGGGGTCTCACCTGCCCCCAGGTAATCACAGGCAATGGTTTTAGCACCTGTCTTGACATTGCTTCTTCGTAGCTGTCAGCATCAGTGTCCTGGCCACCCGCTTCCCGGCCTAAGGCCAGCGCCATGTGTTTAGATGGTTCCTTTTGTGGCAGCACCACGACCAGCATCTGGGCAGCAGGGGTGAAGTCGGGGTCGGCATGTGCAGGGAACAAGACATCTCAGACAAGAGCAAATGTGACTCTGAGCTTATGTGTCAAGGGGGTGGCCCCAGCCCGTGTGCCCCTGCACCCTGGGACAGGCCAGATGAGCTGACCCCACCTGCTGCCCCGTGGCAAACCGGGCATGAGCTCGCAGTTTTCAGCCCTGGCGTCAATGACCAAAGCAGGCCACCAGGCTGGGCCGGACAGCGGGTGGGAGGTGGGGCAGTGGGTGGGTGTGCAATCCTGCCCAGGGAGCAGGGCCGGGTGGTTGGGGACAAGGATGAGCTCTGTCTGCTGCACTTGGGTCCCAGAAGCAGAGGGGCGGGGGTGACAGTACAGAGACATGGCTGGGACGCCGTGCCCTGAGCCTGGCACGGCAGGCAGGGGTGAGGGTGAGGGTGAGCTGCATGTGGGCTCTGAGCAGTGGATCCTCCGCTCCCTGATTTGGGCGGATGCCCACGCGGCGACATGTCTGAGTGTCCTGAGCGGGGTGCTGTGCTGTCTGGCAGCGAGTGTCATCGGGCCCAGAGGGTTCCAGCGCTGGGCTTTTGTGTGGTGGGTGCACGTCAGGACCGCTCAGCCCCCCGCCTCCTCCCCCAGGGGCCTGGATCATCACTGGGGGGTCCCACACCGGCGTCATGAAGCAGGTGGGCGAGGCGGTGCGAGACTTCAGCCTGAGCAGCAGCTACAAGGAGGGAGAGGTCATCACCATCGGCGTGGCCACCTGGGGCACCATACACCGCCGGGAGGGGCTGGTCCACCCCACGGTGAGCGCGGCCGGGTCAGAGGAGGAGTGGGGCGGGCGCGGTGTGTGCCCAACCGGACACGGCAGCGAGCAGGTGCCGGCGGACGCCAGGCTGGGTGGGGCGGGGTGGCCGGAGGATTCAGGACGTGCAGGCTCAAGACCCCTGCTGGTAAGAAGTGTCCAGAAACGGACTTAGTGGGAGGAAGTCACTTGGCCATGATCACACGGCCAGGGCGCACCTGAGTTGGGTTGAGCCCTGGCTGCCCGGCCCCAGACCCGGGCGTGGAGTCCCTGCACTCTGAGGTCTCCTCCGGCCCGAGAGTTCCACGGAGCCGATGTGGTCAGCACCCCCCTGGACGCTCCTGTCGCTGGCTGACTGGCCGCCGCAGCGAGAGGAAGTTGCTTAAACAAACACTGCGCTGGGAAAGCTGGTGGGATCCGCGCAACGAGATTTTCTAAGAACGCATTAGGTCTGGCATAACGGGGACACGTACACTCAATTCGCAGTCGGGAAGTTCAGGGAAAACTGCCCTGTGACTTGCCGAGGAAGTTCCCTCGAGCTGCCCCCAGGGGTGACTTATGAACAGAGCTCTTCCTCTTCCCTGGTGAAGGCCAGGTGGGGGCAGAGCCTCTCTGGGACTCTGAGGTGTCCTTTGTCACTTAGGAATGCTCCTGGGGCACACTGGGCTCCTGGCCGGCTCCCACTGGCCTGGCCTCCCTTTGCGCTGGAATCACAGACGCGCGCAGGGCAGGCCTGGGCGGCCGTTGCGCAGAGTGAGAGCTGAGGCTGGGGACGTCCAAGATCACTCTCTGCTTCACCCCCCCGTGCCGAGGTCGGAAGATGCCCGTTATCCCACCGTCCGTCCTCTGTGGACCACGGAGCATGCGTGTCTGGTCCTGTGGCCGTCCTCCCTGGTTTCCTGTGGCTGCTATAACAAGTGGCCACAAACCCGGTGGCTTAAAGCAGCAGGAATTTATCCACTCGCAGTTCCGGAGGCCAAAAGTCTAGCAGCGGTGTCACTCGGCCACAGTCGAGTGTCGAGGGGCCGTGCTCCCCCCAGACGCTCCAAGGAGGGTCCCTGCCTGACCCTCCCAGCTCCTGGCGCTGCGGGCATGCCTTGGCTAGTGGCCACCTCACTCCAGTCCCCGCCTCTGTGTCACACTGGCTACTCTGTGTGTGTCACCTCTTCCTCCACATCTTCTATAGGACACTTGTGATGGCATTTAGGGCCCACCCAGCTAATCTGGGGTAAACCCCTCCTATCACAATCCTTGACTGACGTCTGCAAGGATGCGTTTCCGAATAAGGCAGCGTTTACAAGTTCCAGGGGCTGGGGCTCGGTGTCTTTGGGTGGCGATTATCCACCCTCTCGTCCCCGAAGGTTCATATCCGTCCCACGTGCAAAATATATTCGTCCACCCACATCCAAGGTCCCCAAATGGTCAACCCATGACAGTGTAAATGCAAACTTCAAGATTTCACATTGACGTCATCCGCTCACAGGGCCCAAAGCTGGTCTAAGTCATCTGACTCAGGGTCGCGGAGACACCTGGTAGGATCCATCCTGGGAAAAATTCTCACATGTGCACCTGTGACACCAGAAACCGAGTTATCTGCTTCCAACATCCAGAGGGGAACAGGCGTAACGTAGCAGTTACGGGTATTCTCATCCCCAAAGCGGGAGCATGGAAGGGACAATGGGATCGCCAGTCCCAGGCAGCTTCAGATGCAGCAGGGAAATGAATTCGGTTACACAGCAGGGAACAGTCCTCTGGCGGAGGCGCCACCCTCTGCACCCTCAGCTTGGGCCTCTGCCTCTGCACCCACGGCTCTGCCCTGGGATGACCCTTCCTGTTCTTTGAAGGGTATTGGCCTACTTTCTGCTTGAAGGATTTTGGGAATCTGACAGCCTTCTTTCACTTGTCCCGGCTCTGTCCCTTTCGGTCCGAGTTCGCAGGTTGCTCTTGGTCCAACATTTGCAGAAGCCTGTGGGTCTCCCGCGCACGTCGCAGGGACGTAAGCCGGTAGACAGGAAGGCCTCCGAGGGTCTCTCCTGGGTGATGCCACCTCTGCTCCCGGCTTAGCTGAGACGGTCGCGTGAGCCCACAGTCACATGCCCGGTGTCTTCCCCACTGGCAAACGGGCCCTGGGCCCTGCCTCTGCCGCGAGCGCTTCCCACAACGGTCTCTGGACTCGTAGTGTCGAACGCAATCCGCTTTCTGCCTCTTTCCTCCAGCTTCCAGGAACGCGTCTCTCGTTTCCTTCCGAGCCCTCCCTGGCAGCGACTCTGCGCCCGCATTTCTGCCGTAATCTGTTCAAGATCGCTGAGACGTTTCTATCCTGTGCCTCAAAATTCTTCCTTCTTCTCTGCAGTTCCAAAGCCACTGCCACACATTTAGGCCTTGGTTACGGCGGCCTTCACTTCCCGATACCTGCGGCCGCCGTAGCAAATTATCACAAACCTTATGTCACATTCCTGGAGGGCAGAGCTCTGAAATCAAGTCATCCAGCCCAAATAACGGTGTCCCCACAGGGAGCATGTGTCTCCTCCCGCCTCCAGTTCCCTCTTTGGCTCGTGGCTGCATCGCTCCGGTCTCTGCCCCTATGGTCACGTGGCCTCTCGCGTGGCTCTCCCGCTACTTCTCTCTTGTAAGGACACGGGTGATGGTATTTTGGGCCGGCTTGGATAATCTTCTCCTGTTAAGACCTTAACTTAATCACATCTGCAAAACCCTCTCTCCGAATAGGTAGCAATCACAGGTTCCAGGGATTAGGGCGCGGTATCTCCGGGGGCATTATTCAGCCAGCTAGCGTTAAAGACCAACTTCCCCCGTCTTGTCCTCCCTGCGCCCTCCCAGGGCGGCTTCCCCGCCGAGTATACCCTGGACGAGGAGGGCCAGGGCGGCCTGACCTGCCTGGACAGCAACCACTCCCACTTCATCCTCGTGGACGACGGGACCCACGGCCAGTACGGGGTTGAGATTCCTCTGAGGACCAAGCTGGAGAAGTTTATATCGGAGCAGACGAAGGAACGAGGCGGTACGTGGCACTCTCGGGGCAGAGGGAGCAGCGGGTGGGCCGGAGCGGCAGGGACGTGGCTGCCCGAGACCGGACGTTCAGCAGGCCTGGAGCTCGCGGTGTGTGCAGACGGCTCCTGCATTCCCTTCCCACGTCTCCTTACGCTTTGCTCAGTGGGGTCGTCTTCTCTCGCCCCCTTGAACCAGTGGAAGGTCACTCGGGTGGGCTGGACACTTGTCTGTGCACTCCCTGCTGACGGGCCACACCATAGACGCGGTCTCAGGTTCGGATCTCGGAATTTGACATCTTTCCCTTCCAGGTGGGGGGTGGGTGGGCTGGGGACACGGGGAGTCACATGCCGGGCTGTGCACGTGATTTGAGGGGCTGAAGAAGGGTTCGAGATAACGGGAGGGGTCTGACCCCGCCCAGGTTGGTGGGGTCCTTCCGAGCATCGTGGTGGGTCAGAGTCCCCTGGGGGAGTCACCAGGGTGCTGGGCCCCCCGGGGGTCTCTGCCTCAGCAGGCCTGGCAGGGCTGAGAACCTGTGTTTCCGGTGAGTGCCGGGCACACGCTGAGAGCCCTGCTTTGACGAGGAGAACCCGGCGGGGTTTGGGGGGCGGGTGAGTGTGAGGGGCCCGTTGATGGCACTCGGAGAGCAGTGTGCTGCCGGGGACAGGGAGGCGAAAGGTTCCTCACGTCCCCCTTGCTGCAGGGCTGGGCGAAAGCCCAGGGTGGGGCTCGGAGGGTGTAGGAGGGAGGTCCCCGTGGCTGGCTCCCACCGCGCACCGTGGGCGTGTCCTCTGTCTTGAAGCCCTGCCCTGCCTGGTGCGAGGCACTGAGAAGGTTCTGGGAAAAGCAGGCTGATTGTCGTGGCCTGCGGGCGGGAAAGAGCCCCCCGCCGTGGAGAGTGAGCCCTGTCCTCACTGCGCTGTGCTTGGTCTAGGCGTGGCCATCAAGATCCCCATCGTCTGTGTGGTGCTGGAGGGCGGCCCTGGCACGCTGCACGTGAGTCCTGGCCGGCGGGCGGGCTGCGTGGGGTTGGGTCCTGTGGCAGGTGGGCCACTGCCCGGAGGCGCCTTTACCAGCACCAGCGTGATCACTGGCGAGAGAGGGCAATGAGCTCGTCCGCCAGGAGGTGCAGACAGAGAATCCGCCCTGTGCCGGGGACACATCCCGGGGGTGTGAGGAACGGCCTGCAGGATGGGCCTTGGGGTGGCACGGGTGGGCCTGGCCCATTAGGAAGGGGTGGGCCCCAAGGGGCCTGGAGCAAGGAGGGGCTGGTGGCCTTCACCCCGAGACCCCAGGGGAAGCCAGGTGGTTTTCTGCAACGCTGCCACCTGGACTCCTGTAGGGAGCCTTCCAAGTACAGCCTCCGAGACCCATAAGGCCAGCGGCTGTATCAGAGCAGGTTTGTTGGGGGTTCCGTGTGCTGCTCCAAGGGCCTTCCTTCCCGAGCCTAGGCGCCCATGCATGAAAGCAGACCGACTCCCTCTGACACGGGGTGTTGCACGATGAGGTCACAGCCTATGGCTCTGGGGCAAGAGTTTGGGCGTTTTTTTTGTGGGATCACAGGAAATGTCCCTGTTTGCATTTTATGATCACAGAGGCCAAAACAGAACCCTGGGGTCTTGTGGCTGGACGGGAATCTGCAGCGTATGGGGACCCCACTCCCTGGGAGCACAGGGGCCCCTGTGGGCGCCACACCGGCTCCCTCACCCAGGCAGGCGCGTCCTTCCTGCTGGACGGCTTGTGGCAAGTCCCCTCCTGACCTCCTCATGGTCTTCTCTTTGTGAGACCAGTGACCCCAGGTCCACGCAGCTCCCCTTTGCAGAGAGGTGCTCACGCCCGTGGTGCTGTGTCAAAGACTCGAGAAACCCTTTTGTTACAATGGTGCTAGGCCGTGGCCTGACGGGGGTGTCTGGGGCGTACACCGCAGTGTGCTGGGATCCACTCTCCCTCCCTCCAAGCAGTGAGACACCCGGTGCTACTGCACCCGTAACTGCTTCCCGCGGACGCCGGCAGCAGGGCTGCCCAGGGCGCTGGGCGTGCTCCCCCTCAGGGGCGCAGAGTGGGACCCGCCCGCTCACACCACCCCTGCCTTGCAGACCATCTACAACGCCATCACCCACGGCACCCCCTGCGTGGTCGTGGAGGGCTCGGGCCGCGTGGCCGACGTCATCGCCCAGGTGGCCAGCCTGCCCATCTCGGAGATCACCATCTCCCTGATCCAGCAGAAGCTGAGCGTGTTCTTCCAGGAGATGTTCGAGACCTTCACCGAGGGCAGCGTCGTCGAGTGGACCAAGAAGGTGAGGCAGACAGGCCGCCGCTCACCCACGTGTGGCCGCCCGACGCCGACAGCCTGGCGGGCAGGACCGGGACGTGCGACCTAAATGGAAACCCTGGCGGATCTGGGCAGGCGCGGAGGCAATTTGCGGAGGTTGGGGGCACAGGCAGGAAACCTCCTGGTGGGTGTAGGGGTGGGTTGGGCTGGGGCGGACACCACGGGGCTCAGTGAGGTTGTGAGAGCCTGCTGGATCGGAGGGCAGGGGACATAGGTGCTGGGGAGGGGGCAGTGGTCCTGAGAGCCCAGGGTGGGCCTCGCCCAGGTTCCAGCAGCTGTCAGGTGCTGGCAGCGGGTGGCAGGGTCCCGTCCAGCCTCACAGCCTTACAGGTGGATTAATGGGGGCGTGTGGGGAGGGCCTCAGAAGGGACCGTTGCCCTAGTCCAGAGGTTAGATTTGGGGTGGCCCCATGGGCTCTGCAGGGGCACCACAGCCCCCGCCGTGACCCCAGCCTCCAGAAGGGGTTGGTGTGTAGGGTCGGGGCTGAGCACTCCCCACCTTGCAAAGCACTCGCCTGGCTCTGAGAGCCCCTCCCTACCGCACCCTCCGGTTCTTGGTTCTGGCCACCTCTAAACCCCGCCCGCTTACGGTCACTGACCTCTGCTTCCCAGCAGGGCTCTTTGTGGGGGGACGGTTGCCTCTCCATCCTCCGTTTCCCCAACAATAAGCTGAGGGGAGCAAAGTAGTCCGTGTGTATGTTTCGTGCAGCTCCCGCACACGGTTCCGGTGGCTGGTGAGAGGTCAGGGCGGCTCTGCTGGGTGTGATTCGGATTCTGTGGGCAGTTGGTTCCACCCGCCGCTGACCGCAGGGCACAGCGCAGTTGACCAAGGCAGACGGCACACGGGACCACGGGGTGTCAGAGGACCTGCCACGGAACGTGGACCCTGGGTGGCTGACGGGGAAGCAGGGGTTCCATGCCCGGGTGATTTGGAGGCGGCATGGTGCCCTTGCTTTTGCTTGTGCTTTCTCACGGTCCCAGAGTGCTGTGTTTGGTACGGATGTCCCTTGAGGTTGCTTCTGTCTGAGAATAGCACGGCGTAGCCTTGAGCAGCAGGTCAGTTTGCAGCGGCAGCAGGTCTGGCTGTGAGCTCAGCTTGCACAATGCCAGGGCTGCCCTTCCCCCTCCTTGACGCCTCTGGGAGCTGCCAGGCCCCGGGGCTCTTCTCAGTTTGCTGATAAATGATTCGGGCAGTTCTCAGAACCGAAGCTAACATGCCGTTGTGGTGCAATTGCGCCAGCCTCCGCGAGGGGGCTGCTCGCCCCCATTCTCGCTCAGCACGGTGGCCCCGCTGCATGGTCACGGCCAGTTCCTTCCTGCAACAAACCTCCTCGCAGCGTGTCCACACTGCACAGGGGGCGGGGGGACCGCTGCCTCAGATTCTGCCGCCGGTGCACGGGCCCCCTCCAACAGGTCGCGGCCACTGCTGCGGCTCAGCTTTGCCACCCTGTCTGTGAAATAGGGACATGTGCACTTAAGCTCAGACGGTGAAACGAGGTCACCTCGGCCCCCGTGAGGTGCTCAGTGCACAAATGTACTAAAAATGGCAGTTACTTTATTACGTGAGTCAAGGGCTAGGTTAAACTCCGGAGAGGTCTGCTTTGCTGGTGGACGGGGTGGGGTTGGCGAGGAAGTCCAGGTTGTGTTTCCAGTTGCCATGAGAGCTGGCCCCTAGGGATGGGGAACTGTCGGGGTCTTAGAGATGGACATGTGACATATGAGGCCCCCCCCAGGTGTGGGCAGAGTCTGCACAAAGACATGGGCCATGTGGCCAGGCTGGGGTGGTGAGGGAAGGCCGCGGGCTGGGTGTGGCTGGCCTGGGGAGCCAGAGGGATAAGTCTGGGGCTCACTGTGGGAGCGGTGGGACCCTGTGGGAAGTGCATTTGTGGAGCGCCCACCCTGGCCACACGGTGCAGGGAGTTGGGGGAGGAGCAGCTGGCAGCAGGCACAGTTGCTAGGAGACGACTTGACTGACAGATGATAGGAGAGTGGGTGTGTGGATGGGTGGATGGACAGACAGACAGATGCACGGACAGATAGGTAAATGCAGGGATGGATGGATGGATGACAGGGAGACAGACAGACACCTATGTAGACAGGCAGACACATGGATGGGACAGACAGGTGGGTAGGCAGGTGGGTGGAAGGATGGATAGACAGAGGGATAGGCAGGTAGTCAGGTGGGTGGCGTTGGCCAGGGAGCCCAGGGTGTGTCTGCAGTTGCCAAGAAAGCTGGCTGCCGGGAATACGGAGCTGTCAGGGTCTCGGAGACAGGTGTGGCTCACGAGGATCCCCCAGGTGTGGGCAGAGTCTGCACAGAGACCCTCTGAGGAGCGGCCAGGGCACTTGCAGGAGGGCCAGGCGGAGAATGCTTGCACTAAGTCCCACCATTGTCAAGGCGAAGGTCCTTTACCCTCGGGTCGAGTTCCCCCGACAGACCACTCACAAACGTGGCATATTTGGTCCTCGTGCACCCTCACCGTCTGAGGCAGGCGGGACCCAGGCTCTGGCTCTGTCCAGGGCCTCAGTTCCAGGTGTCCTCAGAGGAGGCAGGGACTTCACTGGTTGCTGCATATCTGACTTGGAAGACGTTTGTTGCAGATCCAAGACATCGTCCGGAGGCGGCAGCTGCTGACCATCTTCCGGGAAGGCAAGGACGGGCAGCAGGACGTGGACGTGGCCATCCTGCAGGCCTTGCTGAAAGGTGAGGGCCGGGGAGAGCTGGGCAATGGAGGGGCAGACGCAGGCTTTCAGGACGCTGCGCCAAACGCTCCCCGTCGGTCGGACGCACTGGCAGGGGGAAGCTGGTGGGGGGTCCGCCTGTCACCTGAGGTTAGGAGCAGGAGCTGCTTTCTTTACCCTGTCTTCTTAGCTGGAGTCTGAGTGCAACCTGCGCTGATTTACACCTTTGTGGTCATCAGAACTTCTCATACAATTCAGGGTAGAGAGAACCATAGAAGTCACCTCTCCTGACTTCCCACTTTGTCCCACGTGTGGACTCCTTTGCCTCAGACGCGCGAAAGAGTCCACAGGTGGCGCAGACGCGCGGGAGCTGAGAGAATCTCCGGTGGGGATTGCTCTCTGGTTAACTTCTGCTCCGCGGTCCCCGTGGCTGGGGACTGTGCTCTGATGTCCGACTGCTCGTCCAGCGCAGAGCCACAGACAGACGTGGGCAGCCACTGCCCTCGCCCCTCCCGTCCTGCTGAGAACACTTCCAGGGGGTTCAAAGGGCTTGCGGCCTTCCCGTCCCCCTTCTTTTTTCTTTTTCCCTTTTGGAAGCTAGACGTTAAAGATTAGTACACGCAAAAATAACTGCATGTTCAGGGAAAATTACAAAGTGGCCACGCGGGCTCAGGGCCACTCCCGACTCTGACTTCCTGCGTCAGCGGGCGCTGAGGGGAAACGGCTCCGAGCCCCAGACCGAGACCCCCTGTGCGCGTTTTCACCTGCAGCCTCTCGGAGCCAAGATCACTTTGGCCACGAGAACTGGGACCACCAGCTGAAGCTGGCAGTGGCGTGGAACCGCGTGGACATCGCCCGCAGCGAGATCTTCACGGATGAGTGGCAGTGGAAGGTAAGTCTTCTTGGGGTGCCCTGTGGAGGGACTTGCTGGCCCATGTGCATCGTGCCACGGAAGCAAGGGCAGGCCTGGGGGTGGCCTTGGTCTCCATCCAGTCCCGCCCTCGGTGGCGGGCGCCCTGGGCAGGTTTCATCCTCCCAGCCTGGAGGCACCAGCAGCCTGGCCTGCGGGGTCTCCGAGATCCGGCTGACGTGAGGAGACGACCACGTGCAGTGATCGCCCCCACGATGCTCGCTCTCAGCCCTCAGATCTGCACCCCACGATGACCGCCGCCCTCATCTCCAACAAGCCTGAGTTCGTGAAGCTCTTCCTGGAGAACGGGGTGCGGCTGAAGGAGTTCGTGACCTGGGACACGCTGCTCTACCTGTACAAGAGCCTGGAGCCGTCCTGCCTGTTCCACAGCAAGCTGCAGAAGGTGCTGGCGGAGGAGCCCGAGCGCCCGGCCTGCGTGCAGATGCACCACGTGGCCCAGGTGCTGCGGGAGCTGCTGGGGGACTTCACGCAGCCGCTGTACCCGAGGCCCCGCCACAACGACCGGCCGCGGCTCTCGCTGCCTGTGCCTCACATCAAACTCAACGTGCGTGTGGGTAACGCGCCGGCCACCGGCCTGGGCTGCCGCTGTGCTCTTAGCGCTTTGCTTTTAAAATTAGCTTTGATTTACCAGACAAGGGACGTGCTCTGTCGTGGGCTGGCCGGGCTACTGTGGCCGCACTCACAGAGGGGCGGGGCTCACCCTGCAGAAACTGGTTCCCTAGCAGGTCCAGAGGCCGGAGTCTAGGGGAGGTGCCTACAGGGTGGTCTCTGGCGGGGGCTGTCTTCCTGGCGTGCGGACTGTGCCCTCTCGTGGTGTCTTCACAGGGAAGCGGGGGCTCTTGGTGTCTCCTCCTGTACTTACAAGGACACCGGTCCTTTGGGTCGGGGACCTGCCCTCTGACCTCAGTTAACCGTAATTAGCCCCCTTACAGACCCCGTCTCCAGATCTTACAGTCACGCGGGGGTTAGGGCTCCAGCGTATGAGTTTCGGTCCGTAACACTCCCCTTCTGAAAATTCCAAACGGCACAGAAGGTTACGCAGGAGAGCGCCCCCTGCCCTGGAGCCCCTCTCCCGCCGCGCGGGGTCCCTGCTCTTTGTGCGGTGGGGCCAGCAACACTCCGCGCATTTGTGGGACGCGCAGCCTGCACAGCAGCGCTGGGCCCTGATCCACTGGGCCTCCCGCGGGGTCTCACGTCCAGGATGGGGAGGGCGGCCTTTGTACACGTACACGTCGGGGGGATTCACCGCTCTGGTTCTTTGCGGTTTTATGCAACAAAGCGTAAGCGCTGAGTTTCGTCAGACGCCTTTGGAGAAGACCGAGCTGCTTGTCTTTTTTGATTTCTGAATTTGGCAAATTAATAGATTTCTTGGTGGTGAAACGTGTTTTTCTTCCTGTCTCGAGTCTGAGCTGGACTGCAGTGTGGTGTGTGTTTAACACGATGCTAGAGTCTGTTGACAACGTTTTTTGCCTCACAACATCTAAGGCTTGGATTGTTCTTTTTTCTGGGGGCTGCGTTTGTCAGGCTCCGGCATCTTACTTAGTTTCGTAAAAGCCATCGGGAGGCCCTCCCCGCTCTGGGGTAGGTTTTGTGGCTGATGTTAACCGGCCCTGACAAGCTGGCACATGCCCTGTGGCACCGTCCGCACCCACTGCTTTGACGTTTAATGGTTCTAATGACTTCCTCAGTTTCTTTCCTGGCTATTTCTCTGTTTAGCTTCTGTCTTGCTTCTAAGATCACAATTGGTTTTGGTTTCTTTCTGCTAGAAAGTTGCCCATTTCAACCTGTCCATTGTTCCTGGCGAGCCACGCCTGGCCCCTGAGATGGACATGGCCTCGGCCTGGTTTTTTGTCGTCACAGTTCTGCTCCGGGTGTTTGTTTAAGGCACCCAGGAGCAACGTGCTTAAGAAGGTCCAACACAGAAGCTCACGCTCATCTGCCTCTGTGGGTTAAGAAGATACACCAATTTCTTTGCAAAGATAAGCCTTCAGGACATTTCTAGAATCGCTTAGAGAAAGTGTGGTTTTGTCCTGTGTAACGTGGGACACGAGTTCTCCGCTTCTGGGAGTTGTCTCCCGACCGTCTGGGCTCGTGTTTCCCGGTTGGCCAGGGAGCCTGGGTGCCTGCACCCTCCTGCTGCCGCGTGGGCCTCGCGGCCAGGTCAGCAGGTCCGTCTCGGTGGCTTCTCTTAAGGAACACTATGTTAGGTTCCCCGAGGAGCTCACAGTCACAGATGTATTGAGAGACTGTTGTGTTAGGATTTCGCTTAACTGGAAGAGGCTTCGACGCCGTGGAAAAGACTAAGGAATCTTGAAGTGCCTGACATGTTCCAAGAGTCTAAAATGTTGGGAAAGAGTTCAATGGGTATTCCACTTTCTAGATGTTTCTAGATGTCTCCAGAACAATGGTTTTAAAAACTTGAGTGTGCACACGAGCGTTCTAGGGTGTTTGAAAGAGCAGGATGTGGGCTCAGTCTTCAGAGACGGTTCTGGGAAGGCGGTGGGGACTCCATGCCCAGCAGGCTCCCCGGGGATGTTGAGCCGGCCAGGCTGGCGCTGACTGACCTCTGCTCCCAGGTACAGGGAGTGAGCCTCCGGTCCCTCTACAAGCGCTCCTCAGGCCACATGACCTTCACCATGGACCCAGTCCGTGACCTTCTCATCTGGGCCATCGTCCAGAACCGTCGGGAGCTGGCAGGAATCATCTGGGCTCAGGTGAGAAGACCTGCTACTTGGCAGACATGGCCACATAGGGACAGTGGCTGACCGGGTGCGTGGCCGCAGCGCCTAAGGCCAAGAGCAAGCCCTGGCTGCGGAGCAAGGCAGTCGGCGTCCTCACCCCAGAAAGGACTCGGGTGCCCAGAGCAGGACGAGGAACTTAGCTCTAGGCAGGAAGGGATTCTTTTTAGAGAAAAGTTCTGCCAAACAAACTCCTCCCGTGCTGTGCGCAGGGCCCAGCTCTCCAGGCCCCCCGGGCCGGGTGGCACTGTGCTCGTGGCCCACACAGGCTCTGGTGGGCTGGTGATCGTGCCAGGCACGTTGTGTCTGTTAGGGGGACCTGGCCCATGGCCAGCACAGAGCCTGGGCCATCAGGAAGGGGCTGCGTGTTGGTTTGGGACAACTCAGATGGTTTATGCAGATGGGGACACCGAAGGCAATTTGTGTCCCGGACTGTCCTGGGTGGCCCACACTGTCCCAGGGCTGCGGTTTCTGTCCCCCTGGCTGTGTGTTGGGTCCCCAGGTGGGGCGGGGCCTCACTCTGGCTCCCGGCCCCAGAGCCAGGACTGCACGGCCGCGGCCCTGGCCTGCAGCAGGATCCTGAAGGAGCTGTCCAAGGAGGAGGAGGACACGGACACCTCTGAGGAGATGCTGGCGCTGGCGGACGAGTACGAACTCAGAGCCATCGGTGAGCCCCAGGGGCTGTGCCCTCACCCTGGGGTCCTTGGCCCCATGCCTGGGTATTTGGGGACATCGGCCCCCCATTTTCCCTGCCTCGCCCCGTGCCGTACCCGTGTCCCGGCGCTGCGGTCTGGAGGGGCTGCTCTCAGACCCTGTTCCGGGGCTTGGCCGTTGTCCCCTGCTGCTCTGACGTGGGCTTCCCCGCCTGCCAGGGGTCTTCACCGAGTGCTACCGCAAGGACGAGGAGAGGGCCCAGAAACTGCTCACCCGCGTGTCTGAGGCCTGGGGGAAGACCACCTGCCTGCAGCTGGCCCTGGAGGCCAAGGACATGAAGTTCGTGTCTCACGGGGGCATCCAGGTGACCTTCCGAGGGCTTCTGGAAACACCCCATTGGCAGCACGTTCACACACGCTTGGGGCCCAAGGGACCCACGGGCTCCAGCCTGGAAGGCTGTTCCCTCCCGTCTGCGGACGAGGACACCAGGCTGAGGAAAAGCAGGGCCTGCCCCACAGCGAGTGCCCTTGGGCACTGGGCTTCCCTGGAGCAGCCTCGTGCCGTCACCAGGCCCACCAGGCGCCCACCCCGTCCTGGCTGTGTGGGGCGCGGGAGGGTCTGTCCCGCTCTGTGGCCATTAGAGAGGCAGCTCGAGAGAGCCCGTGACTGCAGGGCCTGGGGACCCACAGACGTGGGTCCCGGAGCCCCAGGTGGGAGGAGGGGCGGGACTGGGCGTCCGCAGCCCCAGCCAGGGCCCTGCCTCTCCGCCGCCGCTCGGCTGTGAGACCGTGGCCGGCTCCGCCCACCTGGAGCCCTGAGCCCTCAGCTGAGAGAGGACAGGGCACCTTGGGGCTCAGGGTGTGTCACAGCTGTGAGCGTGGACGTCACTCTCGCTAGGGTCAGGCCGGACGGGTCCTGTCCTGAGACTGCCCCTCCGCAGGCCTTCCTGACCAAGGTGTGGTGGGGCCAGCTCTGCGTGGACAACGGGCTGTGGCGCGTGGCCCTCTGCATGCTGGTCTTCCCGCTGCTCTTCACCGGCCTCATCTCCTTCAGGTGCGCAGGGCGCGGGCGCGGGGTGCGGGAGTGGGCCCCCCGGGTCGGGACGGCCTCCAGACGTTCTCGCGGTTGTGCCGGGTCCTAGCGTGTAGACATGATGCGGGCGGGACGTGGAGCAGGGACCCCCGTGCTTGAAGTCCTGCCCCGCGAGTGCCCTCCCTGTGGGACCCGCTGTCATGGCCCCGCCATGCTAGTGACCCCGGTTTCCAGGCTCCACTGCCTGGGGACGGGGGGTGGAGCGCGTGGTCTCCCTGCTCCCACGGGGATGCAGACCTGAGCAGTCCGCGTGGGGGACGGTGGGCCTCGGCTGAGAGCCCCGGGGTCCCCGCGGGTGTGGAGCCTGTGTCGGGTGGTGTCCTCTTCGGTCGTGGCTGACTGCGACTGGAGACCCAGGCCTGGCCCGTGCCCCTCCTGCGCCTCTGCGGAAGCTGGCGGGGCCTGTGGTGGGGTCGGCTCTGTCCCACTGGGAGGTGCGCTGGGGCTCAGGCGCCTGGCAGTCAGGGCAGATCCAAGGCCCGGCCTGGGGGGCAGCTCCGAGCCCTTCTGCAACCCACAGGCCACGTTGCCGCTTCCTTCCTGCCCTTGTCTGCCAAGGTTACAGGTCTTAGCTGGTGTGAGCGCTCGGGGCATCCAGAGGGGAAACTGAGGCAGGGAGGAACAGCTTGCTTTTCTAGCACCGTCCTGAGGGCGGAAGAGCCACATCTGCTGACGGAGCTGCACTGCTGCCCTTCCCCCCGTCCTGGAACAAGGACAGTGAGGAGGCTCTGCCGTCCTGGCCAGCCCTGCCCCTCGTGAGGGACAGCGAGGAAGGCCTGTCCCCATTCCCAGGGGCCTGAGGGCCTACTCAGCACCACTTAGCACCGCAGGCGGGACCAGACCCCAGGCCAGGCTCAGAGCCACGGAGGTCACGCCGTGGGCAGGAAGTCAGGGGCTGTCTTTAGGTGCTCGCCTTGCTGGGCCTTCTGGTCCGGGCCCTGCTGTGGCCGTGTGCGGGGGTCCCCACTCCTCCCGTAACTGCCGTGGGGTCCTGGGCCCCCGAGCACATTCGCCCCCAACTCACATCCCCCTCAGGGGCGTGAGGGGTCCCCGGGTGGCCAGAGTCTGTGGGCTGCTAGGACCCCTGGCCCCCGAGGTCACCCTCCCCACCTGCCGCTGCGCAGGGAGAAGAGGCTGCAGGCGGTGCGTGGCCCGGCCCGCGCCCGCGCCTTCTTCAACGCGCCTGTGGTCATCTTCCACCTGAACATCCTGTCCTACTTCGCCTTCCTCTGCCTGTTCGCCTACGTGCTCATGGTGGACTTCCAGCCCACGCCGTCCTGGTGCGAGTGTGCCATCTACCTTTGGCTCTTCTCCCTGGTGTGCGAGGAGACGCGGCAGGTAGGACCCGCCCCGCTTCCCGGGGTCCTCGAGCCCCCATAGCCCCATGCCGGCCCCGGCCTCCCAGGGCACCCCAGCCCGGGGGCCACCTGCTCAGTCACTTTCCCTTGGTGGACCCTGGGCCAAGTGACCGTCCCCACCGAGCCTCACCCAGTGCCCTGCAAGCTGGGCAAGACCCCGAGGCGGGGCACTACCCTCGCCGACGGACGCCTTGCGGCCTGCAGCCCTCACTGCCCCGTCCACGCAGGCGAGCCCTCGCGCCCTGCTCCTCTGCTGTCCCTCCCAACCCCCTCGGGCCTTGAAACCCTGTCTGATCACCCTGTGACCTCGTGGACCTTAGGTGGGTGTGCCCCTCCTTCCCCCGGTAAGGGTAGTGCAAGCTATGGGCCCGGGATCATCTCAGGCCCAACAACAAGGCGGGACGCAGACTCGCCGAGAGCTGCGGCGCTCACAGTCACAGCTGATTAAGCAAAAGTCTCCGGATCGCGCCAGCCAAGGGGAGAGGCGCGGAGCCTCCAGGACGGTTTCAAACCCAGAGCTTCGGGTCCCCTCCGTGAGGAGGTGTGGACAGCACTCCCTCCTCCCAGCAACTGTGTGGAACAACACACTCGGGCCACTGCCCCCTGGGAGGCTCACCCAGGACTTGGGGCCCAGGGTTTTTATGGGGGGTCAACCACAGAGGTGTGGCTGACCCCCATCCCCAGCCCCTCCATGGTTGAGCCCACACTGCCCAAGGCTGCCACCCTACGCCACACTGCTGGGCTGCCTGGTGTGGCCCAGGCCCCACCCTACGCCACACTGCGGGGCTGCCTGGCGTGGCCCAGGCCCCCAGGTAAACAAAGATACTCCCATCAGACAGGACTTCCCCAGAACTCAGAGGTCCCCTCCCAGAGGTTGGGACAAGGCCAAACCACTCTTTGGGCAAGGTTAATCCCTTGCTGTGTGTGGTCCCCACCGTGTTCCCATGGGGCCAGCACCTGGTGGCAGCCAGTGAAATGGATGATTGGGGCCCGCAGGGCTGCGGTGGGGCGGGTCTGCTCACTGGGATACGGCCCGGGCTTAGACCCACCTCTGCTCTCTGAACTCGGTAGACCACCAGGCCCCAGATAGAAAGCCAGCTCACACTGTGTGCACACCTGCCTGTTGGGGGGACCCTGGGGAGGAAGTACAGGGCCAGGGCTGGGTGTCTGGGAGAGATGCCATGGCCCTGGCTCTGCTGGCCTCGCCATGCTCCCTTCTGCCACATGGCTTCTGTAGCCAGACCCTGTCCACGTGCACCCGCCCCAAGCCCCAGTCTCATGGGTGGCAGCCCTAGAACAAAGAGGGCACCCCTTCTCCCCAGGCCAGGGAAGGGACCTGGTTGGTCCTGCTGGGTCACCTGACCCACGCACCCAGGTGCTGGGGCCAGGGACTTGGTACTGTGGGAGGGTGTGGGGCCTCCTGCCAGGCTGGCCATGGGGGTCTCACATGGCCCTTACCAGGCCTTTGCCCTCCTTTTGGGGCCGCTTCAGGAAGCAGCGTGGTTCCCTGTGAGAAAAAAGCTCCTTGTGGGGGGTGGCTGGTGCTTGTCAGTGAGCAGGGGGCTTCTCCAGCACACACAGCTGCTCATCCAGGGGCCTGGCGGGAGCTGCTGCCCAGCTCTGCTCAGCGTTGGCCCTCCCATCCTCCGCCCTCCCTCCCTAACCGAGCTCCCTCCATACGGAGCCAGCAGTGTACTGGCTGGCCATGGTGACAGTGACGATAGTGAATATGTTAGTGATAATGATGACAATGGTGATGGTGATGATAGTGATGGTGGTGATGATGGTGATGGTGATGATTGTGATAGTGATGGTGATGATAGTAATGGAGATCATGATAGTGATGGTGATGGTAATAGTGATGGTGATAATGGTGATGGTGGTGATGGTGGTGGTGATGACGGTGATGGTGGTATTGGTGGTGGTTATGGTGATGGTGGTGGTGATGATGGTCATGGTGGTGATGGTGATGGTGGTGATAGTGGTGGTGGTGATGGTGATGGTGGTATTGGTGGTGGTGATGATGGTGATGGTGGTGGTGGTGGTGGATGGTGGTGATGGTGGTATTGGTGGTGGTGATGGTGGTGGTGGTGGTGGTGATGGTGGTGGTGATGGTGGTGATGTGATGGTGATGGTGGTGGTGGTGGTGATGGTGATGGTGGTGATGGTGGTGATGATGGTGATGGTGGTGGTGGTGATGATGGTGATGGTGGTGATGGTGGTGATGGTGGTGATGGTGATGATGGTGTTGGTGATGGTGATGATGGTGGTGATGATGGTGATGGTGATGGTGACGATAGTGGTGGTGATGGTGGTGGTGATGGTGGTGATAGTGATAGTAATAGTGATGGTGATAGTGGTGATGATGGTGGTGATGGTGGGGGTGATGGTGGTGATGGTGATAGTGATGGTGATAGTGACAGCAATGATAGTAATGGAGATCATGATAGTGATGGTGATGGTAATAGTGGTGGTGATAGTGGGGATGTGATGATGGTGATGGTGATGGTGACGATAGTGATAACGTTAATGATAGTGATATAATAAACATGATCATAATGATGATGGTGACATGCTAATGGTGATAGTAGTGATAGTGTTAATGATAATGATGGTGATAATGACATCAGTGACAGTGACAATGGCAGTGACTGGGAGAGCAGTAATGAATACTATGATGATGATGGCACGTCTGCCTCCCCATGCGCCCTCTACCCAGTAGCTCTTCTATGACCCTGACGAGTGCGGGCTGATGAAGAAGGCGGCCTTGTACTTCAGCGACTTCTGGAACAAGCTGGATGTCGGCGCCATCCTGCTCTTCATAGCAGGGCTGACCTGCAGGTCGGTGGATGTCCCCTGGCCCCAGCCTGGGCGAGACTCACCTCCTTGCTGGACCCCAGAGTGTCGCCCGCCCAGTGGGGCAGGATGCAGCCATCCTGCTTGCCTGCCCTTGGGTTGCTGCAGGAGAGGGGAGCATGGCAGAGCTCCCTGCAAACTGGGGTTGCTGCACGCACGAGGGACTGCCAGTGGCTGTCGCTGGAACTGTCCCAGCTCTGCAGACACGGCTGCTGCTTCTCTCCCTCTGCCTCCCTCCCGCGGGGTCACGTCACTGCCCATTAGGGCCTCATGTATCTGCGAGGCCACGGCCCCCTTCCTCCACGAGGCAAGAGGGACCTGGCCAAGCCTGCATGTTTCCCAGGTGTCCCACAGCCTGGGCACCCTGCGGGGCTGGCCTTCTGGGCGTTTCTGGAGAGAAGCCAGGGGCTCTGCCCCTTGACCTCACACCCCGCTTTCCACACATTGGGCCCGGGCTCCTCCAGAGCCCTCTCCTCCGTGGGCCACACCTGGGCTGGGGCCGGCAGGTGGGGACAGCTCTGGGCCACTGCGGCCATGCGGGCAGAGAACTGAGGCGGGGCTGGTTCTGCCGCTTGCAGGCTCATCCCAGCAACACTGTACGCTGGGCGTGTCGTCCTGTCTCTGGATTTCATCATGTTCTGCCTCCGGCTGATGCACATCTTCACCGTCAGTAAGACACTGGGGCCCAAGATAATCATCGTGAAGCGCATGGTAAGGGGCTGCGGCCGGGGAGGGCGCTGCCGTGCTGCGAACCAGCGACCAGCGTGCATGAGCTTGCTCCTGCATTCTCAGTGCTGTCCCATCGATCCGTATTTCTGTCCTTGTGCTGTTGCAAGGGAGGCCGACCAGGGCTTCAACACATGTAGGTCCCCATGTCCCCGCTTTGCCCCTGGGCTCCCACCTTTGGGTGCCTTTCTCACACCTTTGCCGGTGCGTTGCCTCTTCCAGGAAGCCCTCCCTGATCTCCGCAGCTCATTTCTGATCTCTGATTCCACCCCCGGGTGCCCAGCACAAAGGTTTGGTTCCCTGAGGAGGTCATAGCAGCAGCTCCAGGGCTGCTCCCGAGGAGCTCACTGCTTCCTGAGTGGCGGTGGCTTCTCCGTCGTTGCCAGGTGTGGCAGGCAGAGCCCACCTCTGTGCAGGGAGAGTGTTGGGGGTGGGGGAGGGTGCAGCTCTGGTGTCTCACTGTCTCTGCAGATGAAGGACGTCTTCTTCTTCCTCTTCCTGTTGGCGGTGTGGGTGGTGTCCTTCGGGGTGGCCAAGCAAGCCATTCTCATCCACAACGAGAGCCGGGTGGACTGGATCTTCCGCGGGGTCGTCTACCACTCCTACCTCACCATCTTCGGGCAGATCCCGGCCTACATCGACGGTAGGAGCCCAGGGCAGCGGGAGAGCGGGAAGGGGGAAAGCGACCCAAGGCTGTGTCACTTTGGTCACTGCGGCTCTGGGGGTTCTTCCAGCTCACAGGACAGCGGTGGGGCTGGAGCAGTTCCCGCTGCTCAGCATGTCCCTGGGGGCACTGGCGCCCGCAACAGAAAGCGGAAGGTGCCTTGCCCAGCTGGGGTCGGGGGTGTCGGGCGGGGTGGGGCTGGGCTGTCCCACGCTGAGGTCGGGGTGGGCCGAGGGGTGATCTGGGGCACCGGGGCATCGCTGACAGCCCCCCAACCTTAAATGCCACCCCATTTCCCCTCTCCCCCTCCCCAGTCAGAAATAACTTCCTCCTCCTGTGGATGAACGCTTTTTATAAACGGAATTTTTTAAACAGCTCCATTGAGATACAATCACGCGCCATAAAGTTCACCTGAGTAAAGTGTGCGCTCAGTGGTTTTAGTGTATCTGCAGAATGTGCTTTCATAACTTTTGCATCGCCCTGAAGAGACACTCTGTGCCCATTAGCAGTCCCTCCGCACCCCACGGACAACTACTCATCTGCTTCCGACGTCGTAGATTTGCCTTTTCTGGGCTTTTCACATTAAGTGGTAGCGTAATACGGAGTGTTCTGTGTCTGGCTTCCTTCGCGCGACACTGTGCCTTGAAGGTTCCTCACACTGTGCGTGTGTCGGCGTTTAATTCCCTCTCGTGGCTGAACAGTGTCTGTTGTGTGGGCGCAGCACGTTCCGCCGATCCGCCCCTCGCTGTGAGCACTGGGTGGTCTCCACCTCCGAATGTGATGAGCAGGCTGCACGCACGGTTATCTGTGAGTTTCCGTGTGGGTGCGTGTTTGCATGTCTCTCAGACAGACCCCGAGGGGTGGGATTGCTGGGTCCTAGGATATCGGTTATTCAGTGTGAAATGTCCGATTTCCTTAAGTGCTAAGTTGCTATCTCTGACATTTCACTTTGACACTTCTTGTTCTATTTTTATCGTGAAGGCACATCCTCATCTTTCAAACACACGGTTTGGCTCGTGATTATCTTTCACATTTAGTTTAGAGCAATTTTTGTGAAACCATGGATAAGTCAAAAATTCGTGTTATTTGCAAATATGAGTTCTGTTGTGGAACCAATGAAATATCAACCGAGTGTTTGGGAAGGATGCGAGTAATGAACGCACAGTACGTCAGTGGTTTGAGAAGTTCCATTCTATGATTTTAATCTTGAAAATGAGCCACCTGGGCGACCTGAGACCAAGGTGGATAATGATGAGCTGAAAGCTGTAGTGGAAGCGAATCCATCTCAACCTCCACATGAATGAGCAGCAAGGTTTGACGTTACTATTCCAACAATGTTGGACCATTTGAAACAAGGGGGCAAGGTAAAGAAGCTGGATAGATGGGTTCCACGTGAATTAAATGAGCACCAGAAGAGAAATGTCTCAAAGCTTGCCTTTGTTTGCTGTTACGACATAAAGGTGACCATTTCTACACTGTATTGTTATGTGTGATGAAAAATGGATTCTTTTTGACAATCTCAAGCATTTGGCACAGTGGTTGGATAAAGATGAAGTGCTGAAACACAGTCCAAAACTGAATATTCATCAAAAAAACATAATGGCGTGTGTCTGGTGGTCCAGCGCTGGTATCATCCACTACAGCTTGTTCAGTCAATGACAGCAGATGTCTTCTGCAACCAATTGGATGAAATGATGAGGATGCTGGTGATTAAGCAGCTGAGATTGGTAAATAGAGACAGGCCAATCCTCCAGCAAGACAAAGGTCAACCACACGCCACACAAACAACGCTGCTCAAACTACAGCAGCTGAACTTGGAAACTCTCTGTCATCCACCGTATTCACCAGACCTTGCACCAACTGACTACTGCTTCTTCCAGGCTTTGGACCACTTCTTGCAAGGAAAACTATTCAATTCTCAACGAGCTGTGGAAAACGCCTTTCACGATTTCATTGCCACTCGCTTTCCAGGCTTCTTTGCTGCTGGTATAAACAAGCTACCGTTAAGATTTTTATTATGTAGAACTACATTATTCATTGTTATTAATGACAATCACTTTAACTAGTAAAAACGTAGATTGTTTATAGCTTTAAAAAAAAATAAGGTGGCAAAACTGTGTCAATAGTTCAGGCACATACTTTGATTACTTGTACTGCTTCTCGTTTGAGATATAATAAACTAAACTTTTGATTTGAAATTGGACATGTCATATTTAATGACCTAATAACTCTAGGTTTAAATTTTTGA